ATGTTTTGGGAGCTCTAATTTTCCTTTTCACATGAACAATTTGTACCTATTTTTATTAATAAATTTATCAAACACTTTTTAAGATTTTCCTTGTATTCCAGACACAGTTTTAGCTAGGTGATACATTATTGGGTGGACAAAGGTATGAATTTTCCTGAACTTCTAGGCTTTAGATTCATACTTATTAGAACCAGGATAAAAAATTGTTCCTGAAAGATAAAAGTTTATTTTGACTAACATCTTCTTAATTTGGGGCGATGACTTTCCTGTCAGCATACTGAGCCAGCTGTGAAGCTCTCCAACAACCCAATGTATTCTTCAGTATAACACTGTCACATCCATCCACGCCTGTCTAAACTCTTGGCTTTTCTTAACACCAGGGGTGACACACCCACCTATTCTTACTTTTCATCCTACCAGTGAAAATATGTATTAGTGTTTGAAAATCCAAGGAATCTACCCTCTAAGGTGTTCATAGTGCATGATATGTATTGTTTTAAGTCACAAAAGGCTGCCCAATAAAAGATGTACAATGTTTTCCTTTGGATCAACATCTCAGCTTCCTTGTTTCCCTTTTAGGAGTCTAATTCCTTCTACTGTCACATATTTTTCTCTGTCTTTTCAATTCACCTTTATTCTCTCCTTTTATGTCTTCTCTTGTGCCTGTTCTTAAAATATTCTATTAACCCGATGCCGTCACATTCATTACACCCATAGTTCCACATTTTTCATTGTAAATATCACACTTTGGAAAAATTAAAGATAATCTGTAAATACTAAAAATGAAAGTTTTTGAATCTTTTGACTAATGGGTTCATATCATTTAGGATCTTGCGCTTTATAACTTAAATTATTGCCTACATTTCAAGATAAACACCATTTCAATAGCAATAACTTCAAGTAAATTGATTTCTAAATGCATGAGTGTGATTCAGAGACTGTAAATTTCCTTAATATTTTCTTATAAGATGAAATGTGAGTCCTAGCATGTTTGGTTTTTGGTATATATTTATACTAGCTTATTTTTGTTATTTGTGGGGGGGGGTTGTTGTTTTTGAGACAAGATCTCCAAGTACTCTAGCTGGCCTAGAACCCATTATGTAGACCAGGCTGAGCTAAATCTCCTAGAGATCTGCCTTCCTCTGCCTCATGTGTGCTAGGATTAAAAGTGTCCACCACCACACCTAGCTTTATCTTAGTTTCAAAGGTTAAAACTGGGACTGGAGAGATGGCTCAGTGGTTAAGGGCTCTGACTGCTCTTGCAGAGGACACAGGTTCAATTCCCAGCACCCACATGGCGGCTACGAACTGTCCTTAACTCCATCTCCAGGGAAATCTGAAGCCTTGTTCTGACCTCCACGGCATTGCATGACATGGGTGCACTCACATACATGCAAGCAATACATTCATACACATGAGATAAAAATAATAAAATATTTAAAAAAACAAAGGTTAAAACATTTGATTATAAGTGACGGGAATGATTCTTTCATTTTAGAGTTATTTTTTTTAAATACATGTTATTTCACAATAAAAATACTCTGCACTTGGAATTATCTTATTAATTTTATGGTAATTTTATTAATTTTATGATGATTCTTAAGGTCAGTTTCCCTTCCCAAATACTTTGTCTCTATGTTTTGGCAGTCTAGTTGAACCATGTGTGAGTTAGTAGTCCAGAGGCCACAATATGATTTAACTCATGTGTAAAACGTAATTTGAAACTATGTATAGTGAATTAAGAATAGGCTTGAATGAGTATTAAAAAAATAATTACAATACATAATGCTAAAAAAATGGAGAAATTGAGACTCAACAAAAGTTTTGCAACTTGCAGAAATGGGAAAGGAATACCAACGATTAATTTCCATGTTTTTGCTGAAGTATTTCCTCTTCTTCTCTCATTGCACCTTAATGCCTCTGGCTTTTGTTTTGTTTTGTTTAGAATTTATTGTATCTTTTGTCTAGCACATTACTACTCTTTCTCATAGTGAGCTTATTGTGAGTAACACAACATTCATTTTCCTCATAGTTATTTCATTATTACCAGAGTTTATTCAGGGTGAATAACCCTGGTCCAAAATAAGCAGGGGACATGCTTTGTCAGCTGCCTGAGTGAGATCCTCAGGAAGTTTCTGTTTTAGAATAGTTTTACACAAAGCCCAAAGGATTAAAGCAGAACCCTTAACTGATATAGCTTTACACTGTCTATGATGACACTATCCATGAATAACTTTCTAGTATACATGACAATGTATGATGGCAGTATTAACATTCTTTAATTCATCAGTTGGGAGTTA